CTTTTTGAAATATAAATCTGTACATTTCATGCCCTCCTTAAGATTATACAATAGCTTCCAAATGCCTAGAGAATAAAATCTATAACCTTAAACTAGCATTCAGAATACCTTGCTATCTGCCCCATCAACCTTCTCCAATCTTATTTTCCCCTATTTTACTACCCTTCATTCACATTTGTACCAGATTTGTATTGTCCAATAGAGAAGCCACTAGCTATGTGTGGGTGCTGAGCACTTGAAATGTACCTAGTCCAAATTGAGATGTTCTATAAATGTAAAATATACACTGGATTTCAAAGACTTAGTATCAAGAGTGTAAAATTGTTCATTTATAATTTTTAAATATAGATTACATGTTTAAATGATAATATTTTGGTTATACAGGGTTAAAATGAAACATATTATTGAAATTAATTTCACTTGTTTCTACTTTTTAAAATGAGGCTACTAAAAATTTAAATTAAAAAAATTTATAATTTAATATTTCACATTATATATCTATTGGACAGCATTGCCTGGACCAGGGAAGGGGAATGTGTGGCCTTTGGACTGAATCTAATTTTACAGAACAAATCCTTTTATTTTTATTAACAGATTTATGTTAGACTTTTGTATTTTTATCTTTACAATGGATGTATGTCAAGTACCAAAGAATAAAATAGGTTTCAAGGAAATGATCCTCTCAGACTGACCAGCACAATTAGAAGATTAGTAAGCCACAAGGGCTAAATTGGCGACTGCTACACTCATAATTTAATTCTACCTTTCCCCGTTTGCCTGGCACGACTACCACACAAGGCTGGTTGGTGAGAGTTTATCAGGTTGAGTAAGCCAGTCTGTTATCAGCTTTTGACAACAGTGCACTGTGTTTCTGTCTGAAGTGTAATTTGTGAATAGTTGCACAGTTTGACAGTATTTTTTAATTTTGTCTATTTAATGGCACATCATATCAAGGAAGACCAAGAGGATGCTAAAGGAAGAAAACATTTTTTAATGAGAATTGGGAATTGCAATATTATCTTGTTTATGCTAAAAGTAAGATGATTTGCTTGCTTTATGATACTCCAATATCAACATTAAAGAAATTCAGTATTCAACATTATAACACTCATAAGGATCACAAATATTTTAAATTCGACAAGGAGGCACAAAAGGTTGTACTGCAGAAATTAAAAGATGAAAAGCAAAAGCAAAGACTATTCTTTCAAGCAGCAATAAGACCTGGAAATAATGCCACTGAAACAACTTATAAGGTAGCTTATATACTCAGTGAAAAAAGGGAAGCCATTTAGTGATGTAGAAATTGTGGAAGTATACATCGTTGAAGTTGTAGGATAACCAATAAAGTTTCAATGCACAAATCCCCACAACAGTTTCAAAGTACAAACAACTGCCTCTTTCAAGGAGAACCATTAACTTAGCAGCACCATGAAGTAGCCTTCAACATAACAGAACAAATTCATGCAATACTTCAATATATTATTCAATTGCTTTAGATGAATCAACTGACTCTACTGACTCAGAACAGGTTTTATACTTTATTCAGGTCATAACTTACAGAAGATTTTCTTTGCTACAAAGAGTTACTCACTTTGGGCCCTCTTGCAAAGAGAACACAGGGAACAGATACATTCAACAACTTTCAAGAAAAATGTTGTGAAGGTGGACTGAATTTGGTAAATCTAGTGAGTGTACATACAGACTGGTGTCCCTTCCCTGACAGGAAAACATAAGGGTTTACTGCACAGATTTAAAAAGTATTAACAGATCCAGATGCTCTCATTTCTTTTCATTGTATCTTATATCAGCAAAATCTCCGTGCTAAAGCTACTATTTTAGATGACACTTTGCAACAAGTTATAAGTATTTTTAATTATACTTGTGCTAATGCAAAATGCAACAAGGCATTGTCAGTTTCATAATATGCTAAAGTTGCACACTGAGGTGTGGATTTGCCACATTATTCTAAAGTGCATTGGCTATCACAGGGATAGGTGTTAGCCAACATTTTCTTTCTACAAGAACAGATAGTTAAATTTTATGAACAACAGAATCAGCAATGTGAATCAGTAAAAGAAGATTTCTATAGGAATGCAGCATTTCTGTGTGATATGTCAAATCAAAACAATCTGAGTACTTCTTTGTAAGGTAAAACTAAGTCAATATATGATATGTGGTAAAAAAAGTCCAAGCATTTCGAAAAAAGCTATCTTTTTTCAAAACATATATTCTTCAAAACACATCATCTTCAAAAGGAAATTTCAGATGAACATTTCACCAGTTAGCAAAGGTCACTGATGACCACGATGATATATGCGAATCATTTGAAGAATACATAGCTGTTCAGAACTATTAATTGGAGAATACAATGAAAGGTCCACTGACTTTGAGAATCATGACATCACATTCAAATTAGCATTTCAGCCTCACCTAGTTGATATCACCAAGACACCTAAAGAGCTGCAGATGGAATTTATTGAGCTCTCACTCAGTAGATGACATTTTAAAGTAACTGTTTGATGCTAAGAAAGATCCAACTGAAATATGGAAAAATGCAGAATACCCACGCCTTCATCAATGTACCCAAAATATGCTTTCTTGCTTTTCAACCACTTTATTGCTGCAAATCTACATTCTCCTACCTAACCCAAATCAAGACACCTCTAGATGATACCCATCTAGAGGATCAATTGAAACTGTGGACCTTCAGGGTGCAACCAAATATTCAAATGCTTTCCAACAAAAAGCAGAAACAACAAAGTCATTATTAAAAGGTTAGTTTACTTTAAAATTAACAAATAGTTTTCATTTTTTGAAATTATTAAGTACATAGTACTTAGAGTCTTACAAAATAATGTACATTTTTAAGTATATCCAATTGAAGTTTCTTGAATCGGTCTTATTTGATTACAGCTAAATTAATGCAAACTTCCAACTATGAAAGGTTCCCCAACCCTGACCCTGAGCAAACAAACTTTCATCTTTCACACTAATTTTTCTACTTCCATAACTTTGCTCACAGTCTTTCACCATGGAACATTAACACAAATTAGTGAATTAATTTGTTCAGAGGCAGCCATATACTATATGAATAAGTGCTAAACATAAAAAATATTCTTCAGTCATCTCTACTTGGCCAGTTCTTACCTATTCTTCCACAACCAGCTCAAATGAAACTTATTTCCAAGAAACTTTCCTTCATTATCCTCCAGGATAAAAATCTCTTCTTATTCCAAATTCCTATGCATTACATGTTCTTGAAGAAAGATGTCACTTTGTACTTATAACAGTTCTTTTTGTACAGTTTACCACAACTATTAGTTGTAAATCCTTAAATCCAGAATTTTTCAAATTCTATTTGATTCCTCTAACATTTCTGTTGTAATACCTTACACAGAGCCTTCCCTCAAATATTAAATCTGGTACCAACAAGAGGACTGGTGATACAATCATCAAAGATTAAATAAGTTACATTTATTAAAGTAAAAAAGGAGAAATTTATGTTAGTATTATTTACATAATATGTAATCTTCAGAATGATTCAACTATTTACTAAACTTAAAATGGCCATCCTATCTAGACCTTCTTGGTCTAGCTGAAACTCAGCTCTCCCTTGATAACACAACTTAACCTTACATCTACTCTCAGATGGCGTAGCGTGCAGGTGGGGTGGATGTTCTACTAGTTCATCAGGGCCACTCTAACACCATTCTAGGCCGGGCGCTGTGGCTCACGCCTGTAATCCTAGCTCTTGGGAGGCCAAGGCGGGCGGATTACTCAAGGTCAGGAGTTCAAAACCATTCTTTCTCCCTCCTTCCTTTTATTTTAATCTGTTCTAACAGGCATGTAGTGCTATCTCACTGAGGATTTAATTTGCATTTCACTAAATGACCAATGATAATAAGGATCTCTGAATGTGTTTATTTACCATCCAACTAATAGAGTAAACATGTATAGCTATAACCCAAATAAAAGCTATTTAGGGTCCTAAATAATTTTTTAATTATAAGAAGCACATATTTTTATTCTTTTTCTTTCTAAACACTTGCACCTTTTTCTTTTTCTTCTTCCCTCCCTTTCTTTTTCCTTCTAAACATTTGTACCTTTTTCTCTTTTTCTTCCTCCCTCGCTTTCTTCTTTCTAAACCAACATTTGTACCTTTCTTTCTCTTCTTCCTCCCCCCCTTTCTTTCTAAACCAACATTTGCACCTTTTTCTTTCTCTCTTTTTCATCCTACCTTTCTTCTTTCTAAAGAATTTATGTTTTTAGAAGAGAGTAAGAATGTGAGACCAACATATCAGATTGTAATAAATCAGTTACATGGTAAATATCCAGGGAAACCACCAAACTAAGAGAAAAAGTATGTATAATAAGCAGGTTAATGAGGGAAGAGATACAATAATAATAAACAATTAATTTGAAATGCAGTAAGGGGAGAAATAAAAGCATACAACAGGTGAGACAAATTTTAAAAAGCAAATATTAAGGTGGCAAATATAAACCCAAATATATCAATAATTACTTTAATTATAAGTAGACTGAATAGCCAATTAAAATCAGGAACAACAAACAAAACAGACCTTAAAAAGCATTACCATAGATAAAAGGACATTTCATGATAATACAATTCTATATTTCCATATACCTAATAACAGCTTTCAAATATATAAAGCAAAATGGATAAAACTAAAAGAAACAGAAAAATCCAAAATGTATTGCACAAATTTAACAAACCTGTCTCAGTAACAGATACAAGTAGACAAAATGAGTAAACACAAAGAATGTGAAAATGATCAACAAACTTGATCTAACTGACACATACAACACAGCATTCAAAAACTGTTTTCAAAACTACATGGAACATCTACCAAACCTGATCATATGCTGAGCCATAAAATAAGTCGTAAATTTCAAAAGATTTAGCCAACAGAGTTTGTTTCCTGACTACAATTAAAGTAAGCTCAAGAACAATAACAAAGAGTACCCTTGCTTCTACTTACTTTTTATATTTTTGTAAGTGGCATATTCCTCAAGCTCGTTCCTCTCCTGCATGTTCAGAGCATCACCACCGGCTCTGCACTGCCCCTTTGCAGCACTGCAGACATGAGGAATTCATGCAAACATCCAGCTCTGACTGCTACCGTTTCCAAGAAACAGTAGCTTGTTTCCAAGAGTAATGAGGTCCTTTGTCATTCACCCAGGAGTCTAACGTCTTCTGCTACCATCTATGAAACAGTAACAAGCTGCCTTACTAGCCTGTCAAAGTAAAATCTCACTCCCTTCACATGTTTTGACAGATATATGTAACATGAATGAATCTCAAAATAATTATGCTGAAAGAAGCCTGACATAAAAGAGTATATGTTTTCATACTGTAGGTTTTACTTTCTATGAAATTCTAGAATAGATAAAATGAACCTATAGTGACAGAACAGATCGATGGTTTCCAGGGGCTATGGGGGATGGGACTGACTGCAAAGGGAAAGGAGGGAACTTTCCAGAGTGATGAAAATGTTCTATAACTTGGTTGTATAGATATGTTTATTAGCCAAAATCTATCAATCTGTACATTTAAAATGTGTGCTATTATATGTAAATGACACCTCAAAATTTACTGTCTTATTTTTTTTTTTAGAAATTATGTGTATGTCATTTGGGAATTAAATTTTTTTTAAATGAGATATCATTACACACCGATTAGAATAGCTAAAATCCAAAAATGAACAGTACCAATTACTGACAAGGATATGGATATATAGGAACTCTTTTATCTATTGCTGGTAGAAATGCAAAATGGTATGGCCACTATGAAAGACAGTTTGGCCGCTTCTTACAAAGCCAAATACAGTCTTATTGTATGATCCAGCATTTGCGCTCCTAAGCATTTTCCCAAACAAGCTGAAAACTATGCCACAGAAAAATCTGTATACAAAAGTTTATAACAAAAACTGGAAGCATCCAGTATGTCCTTCAATAGGTGAGTGGATAAACTGTGGTACATGGAATATTATTCATTAATGAAAAGAAACACTCTATCAAGCCACAAAAAGACATGAAGGAAACCCAAATGCATCTTTCTTTGTAAAAGAAGCCAGTCTAAATGTACACTTCCATTTATTCAATACATGACATTCTGGAGATGGCAAAACTTCAAACATACTAAAAAGATCAGTGACTGGGGGAGCAGAGGCAGGGGGAATTGGGAAGAAGGAATGAAGAAGTGGAGCACGGGAATTTTTAGGACAGTAAAACTCTTCTGTGTGATACTGCAATGGTGGATACATGACATTATACATTGAACAACACAGAGTGAACCTTAAAGAAAACTATGCACTTTAGTTAATAATAATGTACCAACATTGGCTCATCACTTGTAACAAGTGTACCACACTAATGTAGGACATTAACAATGAGGAAACTGGAAAGAGAGAGAGGTAGGGGTCACATGGGAACTCTGTATTATCTGCTCACTTTTCTGTAAACCTAAAACTATTTACTAGCCTAACAATTTAAAAAAAAATTGACCAGTAGTGTATAATAAATGTGGCAAATTTACTCTCTTCTACATGAGATGTTACCATATTTTAAATATTTTTTGGCTTCATAGAAGCAAATGATCTCTCATTGACATTTTAATTTTCATCTTTTTAAATCCTAAGCATTATTTTTGTTGTTTGCACTTCTTTGGTGAGTTGTCTAAATCCTTTCACCATTTTTTTTTGATATTTGAGATTTTATGGTCAATTTATATAAGCTCTTTACATTAAGAATATTAGTGCATCATTGTCTGCCTTTTGGGCAAGTGGTTTTCCTCAGTTTGCTATCTCTCCTTTAACGTCTTTTAGTTTTGTTCACTATCAACAAATAAAAACTACAATTTTTTCTTTATGACTGTTTTCATATCAATTATGTTTAGATTGGATGGAAATTTGCATAATTTCATTTTGCTTATGGTTCCTCACTTTTCCTTTACCCCTTTAACTATATGGAGTTTATTTTGGTGCATACTATAAAATGAAAAAATAACCTCGCTTTTCTCCTCAAATACTTAAACATTTTAAACCAAATGTTTTCATTATAAACATAAATTCTTACTTTGTCCTTACTGTAAAAATATGTAACACTAATTGAAGATATATGATATACAGAAAAAAATTCTAGTGTTTTTCCTAGAATCTACATAAATGCATATTTGTAAAGACATACTTTGCTATCCAGATTAAGTAATTATTCAGTCAACAATTTGCATTTCACAATAACAATAATACTCTCCTCATAATCCAATGTAGCAAATAAAAATATCACTGTATTTTTATTTTATTACTATATTACTGTATTCCCATTTGCTGCTCTCTTCATATCAATGTTGACCGATATGAGTACTTTGTCTAAATGTTCTGTAAAGGAATTGATTTGAACTTCTGCATATATTGACTTTTTAGTTACTATTATTCACTGAAACACAATACTATTAAATGCATTTAAAATACCATAAGAATGTTTTAGAACTTAATTTACCAGTACATTTGTTGCTACCAACATAATACAATTTCCAACCTACAGTACGCTATATTTACATGCCACATTTTACAAACCATCAAATCCATTAAGTTTAGGAAGAAAAAAAAACATAAACCACACATATCCTTAATTTTACTTTTCATGGTTCTTTATACTAGAACATTCTTGAAATTAACTTATAAAAGCTACAAAGCCATATCATAACTAAATTTAGCCAGTATCCCAGCATCCATGATTCACTGTTTTGTATTTGCCACTAAAGATGTTCTTCAAATAGCTAAACCATATTGTAGTAGTCACAAAGTCAGGCAAATATGATGCTTAACTATGACGTCCTTGAAAAATTATTCATCCCTTTAAATGGCATATCAAATAACTTTCTCCTATAAAAAGAGCTGCAAAAAAAGAAAAAAATTTATATTAAAAATGAGACTATAATCCTTAAAGGCAAGAAATATGTCCAAAAAGCTGAATTATTTTTTCATTAAAATTTCAAGCATATTCTTACAGGCAAAACCTACGAAAATGGATAAACCAATTATCTAAATTCAATTTGGCAGATGAGTATTTATTATATATATTAAGTACAGTGCTATAAATTGAGAATACAAATATAACTAAAATAACTTATATCCTGTTTCACTGCAAAGAAGATCTAAGGTAATCAAGACAGGTCCTTGTAGTCAAGTGGCTTATACTCTAGTAGAAGACATAAACTTAAATAATTACAAAAAAAGTAAAACAATTATATTCAAGTTACAGATGTACCCTTGTATGATGAGCAGATTACACAGAATGTGATGTCCAACAAGAGGGAAATGTTTAAATAAATTATTAAAACCACTTATTTCAATATTAATACATGTATTAGGAAAGTTTAAGAAAAAATTAACAATATCATAGAGAAATCCTTATGCCACAATGTTGGAACAAAATGGAAACTAAACTAAATATAAGATACATTACCAACAGCTTAAAAATTTTTTTTCCTTCTTTTTTTTTTTATTTCGGCATATTATGGGGGTACAGATTTTAAGGTTTCAATAAATGCCCATTTCCCACCTCAAAATTTTTTTAATTATAGAAGAAAACTAGCCAAAAAAAAAAAAAGCCCAGAATATTACCTCTGAGTGGTCACAAGTTTTTACTGTTTACTCTTTACATTTTCTGATTTTTTATAATGGCTATGTATTGTTCTTACAATAAGGAATATACCAAACTTCAAAAAAGACATTCATAATGTTTTCTGGCAAAGCCATTTAACAAAGAGCAAAGTCCTCCTACCTGTCTACTGGGCAACACTGTAAAAGACCTCAAAATATAGTGGGAAAACTCCTCAAAATGTAGACTGGTAAGCAAGGCAAGCTTGACAGAGATTAAAGATCTCACTTTTTTAAACAATCAGAAATTAAAACTGGTAAATACATTATTAAATGACATATATATCTATCTAAAACAGAGCCATGCCAGGGACCGTCTTCAGTTTACATTCTGATTAAAAGTACCTCAGATATTCAACAGGACATTTGAAATGTTCTATATATCTGTGCTATCAAGTATGGTAGCCACTAGTCACATGTGGCTATTGAGCACTTGAAATAAGGCTAGTGCAACTGAGGAACTAAATTTATGTTAACTAATTTAATTAACTTAGCCACATGTAGCTAACCATATTGGTGAAAGTAGTGTTTGCATATATCCTAGGACAGCTCTCTTGAAAAGCTACCATATTGGTGAAAGTAGTGTTTGCATATATCCTAGGACAGCTCTCTTGAAAAGAAATATCCAATATCATTACCCTCAACTGGTAGCACTCAAAACTTGAGAAGTAGGTAAGTATTGTAAAAGCAAATGAGGAAAAAAAAAATGAGGGCTGTCCAGAAAGTATCCAGCCATTGTTAATATAACAAAAACAGTTTGTGTGACATTGATGTAACCTGGCAACCAAGGAAAGTGGACTATAATGCACATGCATGAACAGTGATGATTTCCCTGTACTAGTCAGTGGGACGCTAAACACCATTCAGTAAAAACGTGTACTGGGTAGCCATCGCATTCAAAATGACTGAGCAAGTAGAGCGATGAATCTGCATCAAATTTTGCATTAAGCTTGAACATTCCTCCACAGAAACTACTTGAATGATTCTTAAGGCTTTCAGGACAATGCAATGCATGCAGCCCAAATAAAAGCGTGGCACAAATGCTTCAAAGAATGTGTTGATAGTGATCCGTGTTCTGGGAGGCCTGCAACAAGCAGAACACCTGAGAATGTTGAATGTATACGCGTTAGGTTAAGAGACTCTGGGAGAACTGTGTGAAGTCCGAAGGTGTCTACTTTGAAGGGGAATAAGGCGTCACTGTCCTATATACCATGTTTCTTGTTATCTTGCAACTTCTTCAATAAATGTCTCTACTTTTCATATTACATGGCTGGATAATTTCTGGACAGACCTCATATCTCCAATAACAAAGGTAGGCAGAAGGAAGGTGATGGGTAGTTCTTAGAGACCAAGAAAATTTAGAATTTATACATTTGTATATATAATATTACCAACTTTAAATATTTTTCCTTGCTAAATTTATATCCATATTTTGTCAATTACTAACAAGAAAAACCATGCCAGACTTATAGAATAATAAAGGTAGCATTAAGAATTTCTACAGCATAGGGAACATGTGAACAGCTGAGAATGGCAAAGTCTTCCACGGCATTTAATTTCCTGTACTCCAAAAAAGGAAAGACTCAACAAACTAAAAGGTTACATAAACAAGGGCTTATTCTCAGTAGTTCTGGCATTCTGTCTACCAGTGAACTTCTCTTTCAGGTATGCAGTCTTCATCTCACTTAAAAGATAACAGGTAGAACAGGTTCTGGAACACCCAGGCTTAAAAACATTTTACCATAACAGATTATAAAAATTAAATTTCTTTAAGAAGTAAACATTTTATGTGATTATGTATTTTAAGTAATTCTTGACTTGCTTAGGCCCGTAGGGTGTGATATATCTGGCCTATGACTGCTAATATGTCATTCCAGAATTAATGAGAGGGTTAAAACAAAATAAGTGAATGAAAATAAAAAGTGAATCAAAATTTCTCAATGAATTAGGGGACTTAGCCTAAGTCAAGCTATTTTCCTCAGATCATGAGTGCAGTAATTTAAAGCATTTATTTAAGCATTTATTTATTTATTTAAAGTAGTAATTTAAAGTAATGCATAAACTAAACCTTTAACTGACAAAGAATACTAGTGCATTAAGAGGCCAAAGCAAAGGCCAATTTGAGGCCTTCTTCAGACTGATATAACCCTCATCTGTGTTCTATTCCTTAAGGTCAAATTAACACTAGTCTAGAATTTATGGCGGTGTTCAATTTTGCAGGTTCAGGAGTTTAACTTCTCCCAGGAATAATGAGGTACCAGAGAAATTATGCACACTAACTAAAAGACATATAACTTATGCCAATATATTAAGAAACCAAAGATATAAGTAGACTGGAACAATGAATTTAGTCACTTTTATAGAGCATCTCCTAAATAATTAATTTACCAACCAGAAGACATCTTAGAAATAAGGATTTAAAACACAGGAGTTAAAAAAACATGGCTTAGTGAAAAGAATATGTGATGGAATATGAACTCTACCATTGCTACCACTGAACTGTAAACTTAAAAGTGGTTGAGATGGTAAACTCCCTATTATGCACAATAATGTAAATAGAGGTTCAGAAAACACTGAAATTTTTAAATAAAAACATGTAATATATAAAAAGGACACAAAACAAAAAGCCAAGGATAAAAAATACCAGGTATAAAACAAAAAGTGCACTGAATGAGACTAACAGAAGGCTAGAATTTAGAGAAGACAAGGGAACCTAAAACATAGCAAAAGTAATTACCAAAATGAAATAGAGAGGGGGGAAAAAGACAAAACGAATTAGTAAAAGAAAAGACTATCTGTAAGGTGTGGGACAACATGAAGCAACCTACTATATTAATATATGTAACTGGAGTCACCAGAAGAAAGAACAGAAAGAAAAATGTGAGGAAATAAGGGCTCAAAATTCTCCATAGTTGATGAAAACTAAAAACCATACAGATTAAGAAGCTCAACCAATGAGAAAAACAAGAAATATGAAGAAAACTACATACAGCAAGGCACATCATAATCACATTGACTAAAGCCAATCAGAAAAATAAACTCTTAAAAGAGCCACAGAAAAAAGGACACATTACGAACAGAGGCACAATACAAACCAGAAGACAACGGAGATCGGAACCGCCATCTCCCAGTAATTTACCAAAATGACCCACACAAAGAAAAGAGGCACCTGCTGTATGTTCTCTAGGACTTTTAGAAAACTGGGAGCTGTTCGTTTGGCCACATACATGCAAATGTAAAAGAAAGCTGATACTGGAGACATCATGGGATGGACACTTTTCAAAAAGAAATGTTTCACAAATATTCCCCCAGCAAAAGTGGAAGAGTCTACAATGTTACACCTTGCATGCTACTGGCATTGCTCTGAACAATGTTAAGGCCAAAATTCTTACCAAGAAAGCATATGTATGTATGCACGTACTGAGTTTATTAAGCACTCTAAAAGCTTTTAGAAGGTAGCTTCCTAAAAACGTATGAAGGAAAATAATCAGAAAATGAAGGAAACCAAAGAGAAAGATACCTGGGTTCAACTGGAGAACCAGCTTGATCTACCCAGGAACCTGAGCTGCTATTCCCATGAATTCATGGCATTACAGCAGTTAAAACACACACACACACACACACACACACACACACTCTCTCTCTCTCCTCTCCCTTCCACCCTCTCTCCCTCACCGCCCGCCCTCCTCTCCCTCTCTCTCCTCCTCTCTCTCCCTATCTCTCTCTCCCTCTCCCTCTCTCTCTCTCACACACACACACACACACACAAAACCTCTGGACTGTTTTAAAAAAAAGAATGGAGCAACACTATTAAAGTGCCAAAAGAAAAATGAAAAGTCAACCTAACCCAAAATAATCCTGGAAAGTAGGAATTGAAAACTATATTACAGACAAAAAAGTGACCAGTTTCTATTGTAGAAAGGAGGAAAGATCACAATGAAAACTCAATCAGAAGTTTTCATATATATATATCATTGTATGTTTTTAAAATATATGCAATTTTATAGCATTCCAGGTTTTAAAATGATAATTTTATAGCATTCCAGGTTTTAAAATGATAATTTTATAGCATTCCAGGTTTTAAAATTAGATATAAATGAATGTTTACAAACTGAATTGTGTCCCTCCCCCCCAAAAATTAACAAGTTGAAGTCTAGATCCCCAGTACCTCAAAATGTCACTGTATTTGGAAAGAGGATGGTTCGTTAGAGTAAGCCCTAATCCAATCTGACTGGTGTCCTTATAAGTTGCAACATAGAGAGACACCAGGGGTGTGGAAGCACAGAGAAAAGGCCATGTGAGGACACAGTGAGAAAGTGGCCATCTGCAAGCCAAGAGGAGAGACCTGAGAAAAAACCAAACCTGCCAACACCTTGATTTGAGACTTCCAGACTCTGGAACTGTGAGAAAAAATTTTTTTTTTTTTTGAGACAGAGTCTCACTTTGTTGCCTAGGCTAGAGTGAGTGCCGTGGCGTCAGCCTCACTCACAGCAACCTCAAACTCCTGGGCTTAAGCGATCCTCTTGCCTCAGCCTCCCGAGTAGCTGGGACTCCAGGCATGCGCCACCATGCGCGCCAATTTTCTCTATATATTAGTTGGCCAATTAATTTCTTTCCATTTATAGTGGAGACCGGGTCTCGCTCTTGCTCAGGCTGGTTTCGAACTCTGACCTTGAGCAATCCGCCCGCCTCAGCCTCCCAGAGTGCTAGGATTACAGGCGTGAGCCACCACGCCCAGCTAAATTTCTGTTATTTAAGTCAAAAACAAAACAAAACAAAACAAAAAACCCTATCAACCTAGAATACTACATGCAGCAGAAATATCTTTCAAAAATCAAGGTGTTAACATCATAAATATATACACAATTT